TAACACGCACTTGTACTTGTCAACATCTACATAATAAGTAGAAGGCGCCAATAAATACGTGACATTTAGAACGGTGAAGGAAAATAACAATAATAGATACTTCGAATAGGAATTTTTTTTGTCATTATAGGGTATATATATATAAAAAAAATTTATGTGCTAAAATAAATTGAGATGGAAATAAGTTCTTTTTAAATTCTTCTAATCTTCTAGCTATTTTATTGAAATCAGTAAAAAAATTTTACAACGAAAAAAAATACAGTATTGCTATGTATCGTACATCAGTTGTTCCCAACCCCGAGAAACATTAAATAATTTCTATTTTATTTATTGGGGTGCCTTTCTCTCGGCTGTGTGCGATTTCATCATTTCATATTCATTTTTTTGTGTGTGTAACTGTATATTATTTTGAAGTAATTCTGACTGTATATTATTAAATACTATTAAATTTAAATCATTAAATCAAACTAAACTCACTGCCGCAACAGCCCATGCGGGCCAATACTGTCCCCATCTCAGTATACGTGACCAATGGGCGCTGAGGTGCATGAGCAGATGTCCCGATCAGGCAGTCAGCCTGAAGCGAAACTCTCAGTATTTAGTCCCAAGCAAGCTTAGTATTCATTTGTCGACTCACTAAAGGGATGAAAGATTGAATCGACCTTTCCCAGCCCAGGGATTGAACCCGGACCTGTGGCGTGGAAGCGCAATACGCTACTTCTCAGCCACTGGGTTTCTATTAAATCAAAATAATCTAAAATTTAAATTATCAACGTCCCCCCCCCTCAGCGGGGCGTGGTAAATTATCAAACGTTGACCGGTCCGCGGCAATAAAAAGGTTGAGGAACGTTCAGTGGCACACACAAGGGAGAGTCGCTGGGTCCGTAATTCTTCCCCCCCCCAAAGGCCTTGATTTTTTTTCGATTGATTATAATCTTAGGCAATTAGTACGTAAAATTTTATTGAGTATTTATTATTTAATAATTAATTTTATTAATTAATGCTGAATATTTATTCAATAATTAATTTTGCACTGTTTTTTGTTCTCGAAAATCAGCAAAATAAAAAAAAGCATGGATATGGAGCATGATACGAAAATAGTGAACTTTCGACCCTGGACACATCCCCCTTTGAAAAATTCCTGTGTGAGCCACTAGGATTGATTATTAACGTCGCACTGTTCTGCAACACGAGGGCTATTGGCGACGGACCACGTAATTTTGAATCCTGGTCAAGTAACGTGGACGACACCTGAGCTGGCCCCCCTCTCCTAACTACTACACCACACCAACGGGATGACGTTTCAGCTCTCGACAGATTTTACGTACATCGCCGCCCTACACGGCGTGTCTTTAGTGGTACTGGGCTTGAATTCGTGACAAGGCAAGCCACGATCCGACACCTATACCATTCGGCTACCGCGGCTACGTGAGCCACTAGGAACGTTACCTTACGTGACTTGCATACAAAGTTTTTTCTCTCAAATAATTGTAAAGAAATTGAACCAAATTTAAATTCTGTTTAGAATGGAACATTTTGTTCTTAAATAAGTTAAATTGAAGAGAGAAAAAAAATTTTTTTTTCTGGAATTCGAATTTAATTGGATTTTTGATTAATTGATTGCTAATTAATGTTTTATTTAGATGTAATATAAAAGGTTAAAGGTATATGAGTGAGTGAGTGTTTATTAACGTTGAAGCAACACGAGGGCTATTGGCGACGGACCTCGTAATTTTGAACCTCGTTTTAGTGACGAAGACAGCATCTGAGTTGTGTGTGGCATCCCACTTTCCTGTAACTTCCACATCGCGTCAACGAGAGGACTTTGAGCCACAACAGGTTAACGTGAATGAGTCTTCTATACAGGTCTTCAGTGACGCCTAGGTGGCGTCAAACCCCTGTTGCACACAAGGGGGTCCAGGAATCCGGACCCCCACACATCGTCCTTGTCTTTTCGATTGATTACAATCTCATGTGTAAAAAGTATGTGACGAATCTTTACGGCACCTTTCCACTAATATTCTTAGGCGTCTTTGGGGAGTGTAATTTCGCGGATATTTTCAATCAGCTCTAAAAGAAGAAAACGGGATATGTAAAGTAGATAAGGTATTTAAGGAGAGCGTGATAGGTTAGCGTAGAAGAAGGCGATTGAGCCAGCAGAAGTAGTGACGAGATTTGCAGGATTCAATTGGATTAAGATATTGAAGTATTGCTGTTGTTATTCAGCGAAGTATATCCTTAGAAGGATTAATCTACCTGGAGAAAAATCGGTAGTAAATATAGTAATATATTCTAACTTAGTACCTCTTACCACAAGCGTTAATATAATAAAGTTAGTTAAATCTTAGTTAATGGTAATAATTCATGTTGCGTGTATTTCTCGGACCTCCTATTCCGGTAAACCCTTTCGATATTGAGCGTAGTAATTGATTAATTTCATATTTCGTAATTTAATTTAATAGTAAAGGTGAATCTCTTTTCAACGTAGACATATAGTTGAATATTTGTAATTAGAAGGTTGATATTGGAACTAAGGGAATAAATATAATTTGTTATTATACAAATGGCGTCTGGTCATTCTTTGCCTCAAGTCAATCTTAGTGTCCAGGGTGGAAACCAGGGGAGTTCCCACAAGTACATAAAAAAACATTCAAAACAAAGTTAAGAATAATTTCTGTTCTGATAAATGAAAAAAAAAATCTTTTCTCTTTTCTTCCCCTTCAAAATTAATCATAATTAATTATTCCACTATTAATACTTCATTTTACTAATCAATGTTAATTATTTATTCAACTATTTATTTTTTTACTAATTTTCGATCTCGACCATCGATAAAGTCAAAATAATATGTTTGGTGGCGTATAAGGGTATGTATGATTAGTGGCGTAATGTACACACCCGCAACCCCTGCATCACGGGCGAAGATCAGGATCTCTAGGGGGCCCAAGGCCTGACTGACGCCAAGTACGTATTCTAGCAATTTATAAAATATTAAAGGCAATACCTGATTTTGCAAGGGATAGGGGCTAATATTCTCTACTACACCACTGAGTACGATACGAGAATAGTGGACTTTCAACCCCGTCGCCTTCCCCCCTCTCCTGTGAAAAATTTCCGTGCGCCACTGCTCAAACTCACGATTCCACAAACATCGGCTATAAGTTCGTGAGCGTGACCACTTGGCTATCGTTGTCAATCAAAAAGTTTGAAAAATTGAAAACTTTCGACTCTCCTAATTCTCACTCCACGTCAACGTGAGATCTTTCAGCTCAGCAGTTTTAACGAACAAATTCGTCAAGGCACACGGATGAGGCTTTTAAGGAATTTTCATTTAATGGGTAATTTTTTTTATTTCGGTGAGTAATTTAAATTAAAAATAAGAAAGTTAACATTTGGACTTATTATGTCGTATGCTAATATGTTTTTCTTTAAAATTTAAGTAATATAACAAAAAAGATGAACTTTTTGAGGAAAAAAAATACTTTTCTCTAATAAATACATTAAATTGTAACATAATTAAAGAAAAGGCTTAAAATAAAGTTATTGAACGCGTTTTTTTTTTTTTGAGAACAGCATTTTTATGAACAAAAATTAATTAAACTTTTTTTAAAAAAAATCGTTTGCTAAATAACTAGTATGGCCTTTGACACATAATTTTTTAGAATTATCCAAAACCCCAATGTGATATTCGATTCCGAGAACGTTCTCGATTCCTTTCTCAGTCATTTAGAATAAAAAAAATATTTGAACGAAAAAAAAATGTTCATAATATATCCCCATACGACGCAGTTCTGTTTCGTCTATAAAATGTCAACGATTACATAACTAGCAGAGATGAACAACGCTGATGAGGAAACGTGAAATATGTTTAGCCAACACAGCTGTTTCGATGTTCCTTTGAAACATCAAATAGGGAAGAGTTCATCTCAAATATCGCGTTCGAGAAGAGGTTTAACACTCCCTCCAGTTGGTCATCATCGTGTGAGGCCGATGAATCACATGGAATCATTTACCGAAAATATGCTTCATCATTGCTTTCTGCTTCGTGCTACTGACGATTTTGGATGACGCTCCTGTCAATGAAAATAGAGCTGCATTTTGTTCTTCCCGCAGCTTGCAGGCGTTTCGTTTAAAAAATTAGATCTGTGAAATAGAACTGCGGCGCCACACAACTGCGAATAAAAAGATCCCGCGTTGCGTTTGCATTCGAAATGATGGTGGTTAAGTGACGCATCGGGATAACCTCCAGGAAACAGGCTTTCCCTCTGAACATTTGTGCACCGCTGGACTTGACCACGTAATGCGCGTTTATTTGTCCTTAATTTCTGTGGAATTAAGCTGAACAAGCATTGCGTGCGCTGGTCCATTACTGTGATTTCATTTTCTTCTACGTTTTGAGAGTTGCGTCAAATTGCGCTGATTTAAATATTTCAGAAGAGTTGTGTAATACCTAAAACTGTAACAAGTGATATAATTTTCGCACGTCGTAGGAATTATGTTGCAAAAAAGAAGGAAAAATAAAATACAGAATACAAATCTGATACAGAAGAATTCAAATGTTATGTATTCTGAATATAAAATTATACATTTTAAAGTAGTATTTGAAATGAATTAAATATTTTAGTTTAATTTATATAGACCGGCTTATACCACTCACTTTTAACACACAAAAAAACCACACACAAACAATATTAAAAAAAATTAAGTCAATTCCTACTTAGGTCAACAAAGAAACAATTTTCTTTGGTTACTTTTTATAAAATACTTACAATTTATATAACTATGTATATACATATGACAGAATCACAATATTAAGTAACAAAATAGAAAGCGATTTTCCTTTCTATTTTCCATTTTCCTTTCCATATAGGGTGTTGGACTACTAAATTATTCCAATATTTAGTAGTCCAACACCCTACCACTAATTTATTCATTAATTAAACTTAATTATTCCAATAAAATAGAAATGTTAAAAGAAATCACATCCTCAGAAATTTGGCCATCCCATTTGGGATTCGAACCCACGACCTTTGGATTAAATGTCCAACGCACTATTCATTGTGCAACAGAGACACAACGAGCGATTTTCCTTTTTATGTGTTGTGTTGGACTAATAGTTTTGTTTGTTACTATGTATTCATTAATTAAATAGAATTAATGAATTAATATGTGAAAAAACTGTATTAACATCAAGTGTCATCCACTACAAGTTTTAAAAAATGTATTTGAACTTGAGTGGATGAATAAAAAGTATTTGATTAACGATTGAAAATCTGAACAAGATATATATATATATATATATATATATATATATATATATAGGGAGAGTATGAACTAATAGTAGGAAGTGAATAAGATCGAAATTTACGGCGGATTCACATTATTATATCTTTAAAAGAAAATGAGCGTATTAAAAAACTAAATAGCTATATGTACGTAAACATTGTTTATTTAAAGGAAACAGTGGTGTACACATGTTTTTTTCCAAGGGGGTCTAGGGAGGGAAACAGCAAAAAATAAATTATTGAATAGATAATTGACATTAATTAATACAATTAATTATAATTATTTTCCATGTACCACGTATATACATAAGATTATAATCAATCGAAAAAAACAATCAAGGGCGATAGGGGGACTTTCTGGACCCCCCCCCCCATTGTGTTTGCACCACTAAAAGGAGATGATGTATCATATGAATTTTTTTGTTGGATTAAATGGAAAAAGTTCGTCATACTCACCTTTCGTTGTATATATTTTCAGGTTCATCAACTTTTTTCTTTCTCTACAGGTTTTTTTGTTCTAGAAGTACACCATTGTTCAAAAGCCTAGTATAACATTTCGAATAAACGACTTCAAAAAGTAATTATTTACACTAGTACATTTCAGGTTTCTTCGTGAAAAAAAGGATGCGAGGTATGCGGCGAATGTACCTAAAAATTAAAAAATGCAGCTTGAAAGTATAGGTGCGCGTTATACGCCGGATTTTACCGTAAATATTTTACACGAGTGAGGGAGTGAATATTAACGTCGCACTGTTCAGCTACACGAGGGCTTTTGGCGACGGACCACGTAATTTCGAACCATGGTCAAGTGACGTGGGCGACACCTGAACTGGCAACCCCTTCACCTAACTACCACACCACACCAACGGGAGGACGTTTCAGCTCTCGACAGATTTAACGTGCATCGCTGCCCTACACGGCGGGTCTTTAGTGGTACAGGGCTCGAACTCATGACATGCCTGCCATGATCCGATACTTTGACCACTGGACTACCCTGCAGTCCTTATTTTACGCGAGAAAACCATTTTAATGCACTGTATAAATTAGTTTAAATAATTTACTCGCCATTTTATTTTAAACCCTAAGGCGGATGTTTTATTAAAACAAACTGATAAAATATTTCAATTACAGAAAACTTTCATACTTTGCTCTGAAATAATTTTATTAACATAGTTTAAACTCTAAAAGGTGTTTTCTCCCAAAGCAAATTGATAAAATATTTCAATTACGGAGAATTTTCATATTTTAAATTTAGATAATTTTATATTAACATAATTATTATTTTGTTTTTTTAAGTATTCTGATATATTCTGATTGCTAGGTAATGTATAAAATGAATACATTTTACCAGTAGCGCACAAAAGAATTTTTCAAGGGAGGGGGGAGGATCTATAGTGTCGAAAGTCCACCATTCTTGCATCATGCTCCTTTTGATTTTGTCCATTTTCGGGAACAAAAAAACAGTAAAAAACTAACTATTGAATAAATAATTATAGCATTGGTAAATAAAATTAATCTCTCATTAACAACAAATATTAAATTAAATTTTACGTACTATGTAAGAATTATAACCAATCGGACAAAAAATCAAAGGGCTTTGGAGAGGGGGGTCCGGACCCCTAGGACACTCCCTTTGCATGCGCCACTGCATCTTAGAAATTTTTTTTTACTAAGAATGAAGAATAGTTCGCGTTTACAGTGCATTCAAAAATCGAATTGTGCTAATAATTGGAATTCTTTGAAAAGAGCAATTGTTTAAGAAAAAACAAGTAATTTTCCTTAAAATTTTATTTTTAATGTCACTAAAATTTATTTCCCCCTGTTGGAATTCCATGTAAAATATTTATCCAGTGTCGCTATCGAATGATGACTTCTTAGAATCCAAAGGCAAAAAATTCTCTCTAATGTTAAAATAATTTGTCGTAAATTACTCTAGCATTTCACACATCAACGACTTCATTGCATCCAAGGATGTTATTCCCAGTTTTTGTCTTCACAAAAACCACACGCATTCAAGAGAATTTCGTTCGGTATACCCAAAACAAACTCCCATTAACATCTTCCACCTATATACCTCGAAATTCTAAAGGAATCCATCAACAAGTATTCACAGGAAGAAGGAAAAAAAATTAATAACGACTAAACCGAAACGCTTCAAACCTATTCTTCGAAAAACGGTAGAATCAATTACAGGCTACAACCGAAACCGAATTGAGGGGTTTGTGCGCACCTTATAATGAAGATAAGAATTCCTCATAACACCACAATGGTCGAAAAAAACCCCACCTCCCACTCTCTTTTTGTTTTGTTGTTATTCTTTTTCTCAATATTCCAGGTCCTGAAGATTATTATCCCCGTTTTTCGCTTTGGCGGTGTTGCGCAATATGATATAGATGAAAAGAGACCTCAATGAACGCGTATAATTCTGGCACTGCTATTTTCTCACCACAACTGCTGTATTCCACGAAGCGATGAAGTACGTGCGAACAAACGCGCTTCTTCGGAACAAAAAACAACATCCCTCTGCGCATTTAAAGTTAGGAAAAGAGTGGATTTTTCTCCTGAAACACTGTGCAGCAGGTGACACGTAGTCGGCCTCAGGTAGAACAGAACGGGTAAACGACTCCCTCCAAGGCCAAGGTTAGGCCAATGCCTATTCTTCCGCCGCCCGTTCCTCCCCCTCCCATTTTTCTTATTCGTTTTGTTTTCTTCTCATTTAATAGATCACATACGCGACCTTCGCCTCCACGCAGAGACGACGGTGACATTTGCTGCTTCTTTTTTGTTGTTGTTGTTTCGAGATGATGAGATCTGAGTTGCGCGATGTTTTTATTTACAAACAAGAGCAGGATGTGTGTGCGCGTGCGTGAGGACAGTTTTTGTTTTCGATTTTTTTTGTGCTGGATAAAAAGCGATTTCGGAAGTGCGGTGGGTTTTACAAATATTTGTAATCGGAAAATCTGTAAGGGAAGTAGCGCACACAGGAATTTTTCAAGGGGGTGTCCTGGGTCGAAAGTCCACCATTCTTGCAACATGCTCCTTTTGATTTTGTCGATTTTGGGGAATAAAAAACAGTAAAAAACTAATTATTGATTTAATGATTAGCATTAATTAATAGAATTAATTATTGAGAGCAAATACTTAAGGGGTCACAGGGGTGTTAAATTTCTCTGGAGGTCTGAAAATATAAACAATTTTTAAACAGGAATAATTTCTTTAAATTTAAGTTAAATAATTCGAATCTTTTACACATTACTTATAAAGGAATGGGGCTTCAGAAAAGAATAAATAATTTAAAATATGATCATAATTTTAAAAATTATAAGCATATAAAAATAAGAAACTTTTCTATAAGAAATATTTATTAAGTTTTACGTCGTGCATGCTATTTTCTAAAAGAGTAGGTTTAATTACTAGCTATAAGTTGATTTATAAAGACAAATGTATTCCTAATACTTTGTAGCTACTTTTATATAAATAGAATAATAACTTACATATTTTAATAAATAAAAACTATAAATTTTTAAAAAATATTTAAAAAATTGCAATATTTTACAAATATTTTGAAATACAAAAGATATATAATACTAAAATTAGGTAGGGTTTAAAGAGTATGATGCATTGTATAATTCTATAAAGTTTTATACATCAGAGGCTAATATTTTAGAAAATAGCGTGCGCAAAGCAAAAAATACTTAATATTTATTATATAATTTTCATATGCTTATGACTTTTAAAATTATTATTATATTTTGAACATTTTATACTTTTCTGAAGCCTCATTCTATTTTAAACATTACGTAAAAGATTCGAATCAATTAATTTAAATTTAAAAGAATTATACGCGTTTGAAAATCGTTTATATTTTAAGACCTCTAGAGAAATTTAACACCCCTGAGACCTCTTAATTGAATTTTACATAGTATATACTTAGAATTATAAGAAATCGGGGGGAAAAATCAAGGGCTATGGGGGTGTCCGGACCCCTAGGACACCCCTCTTGTGTGCGCCACTGGTATACATGTATCCAGTAGCGCACACAAAAATTTTTCAAAAAAAAGGGAGGGGGGTCCAGGGTCGAAAGTCCATCATTTTGGTATCATGCTCCAATACGCTGCCCAACACATTCTTTTGATTTTGTCGATTTTGGGGAACAAAAACAATACAAAAAGGAATTATTGAATAAATAATTAGCATTAATTAATAAAATTAATTATTAATAACAAATGCACAGTTAAATTTTACGTAATAGATACATAGGATTATAACCAATCGAAAAAAAATCAAGGGCTATGGGGGTGTCCGGACTCCTAGGACACCCCTCTTGTGTGCGCCACTGGAGATATTTAATACATATTCCAAATAAAATGGTTGAAATTATGTAAAGCTTTCGCTAAAGGTGTCAAACCGAAAGGCTGACTTAGACCAAATAAACAAGGTTTAGTTTAAGGTAGGCCGCTAAGAAAATCAAAATTCATAGAAATGTAAGTTTGTTTCGAATAATATATTATAATAAACATATATAAGAACAAGAAATGTACGTTCTGACACTTGACATCTTTTCTTTGTTACTATCTTTCCTAAAATTTCCGGGAGAAATTTTGATATTTTATTATATAGTATTGTGTGCCAATATACTGACTGGACCGAAAATATGCTTGCTGTGGGTAGCGAGTTCGACAACCCTGGCTTACGCAAACGCTTGATAAGACAACGGCACTTTTGAGCAAGAAAAATTGAATTTATTCAATTGTTATGTTATAAATTTGTGTGCGCACTCAAAGATTG